TCCTATAAGCCATGAAGGTGACATGTTTATAGGTTTAATTAAAGTTAATGGTGAAACAATCACTGCACCTATTGACACCAGATCCTGATTAAACCTTGTAAACAAAAATATACAAAAAGGAGAGGATTGACTTGGAGAGCTGTTAAAGAAAAAGGAAAAATGAAGGATAATAGTGTTAGTGATTTTCTCAGATTTATACTAAATATAGAAGTAGATATGGATAGAATTAGTGTTATTCAGGGATTCTATGTAATGGGCTCTGCCAGTTTTGATATGCTGCTTGGTATGCCCTGGTTGGCTGCTGCATGTTGTAACTTGAATTGGAAAAATAATAAGTATTGATATATAGTAGCATCACCATATAAGAAAGTATCTTTCATAGCTACTGTGAAACCTGAAGCATGGATGAGTCAAGAAAATAACAAGTATGAGGATGAGAATGAGAATGAAATTGGTATAATGTTAGTATGAAGAATAAGTATTGACAAACTTGACGCAAAGAAAATGGAAAACAAACATCAAGAGATAATAACTAGAGCAAGAAATGCAGATTATTTGATGGTAGAGGAAGTTAGCCTAATGACAATAATCAGTTTGAAAAGATGGAACATAATGGGCGGGTGATGTACTGAAATGTTAATCAGAAAATGAAAATGGTGTAGTGAGTATAAGAGACTCTGAATTAATAATACGGCTTACAAAAGAAAATAGCATAGTATTGGACATCAATAAAGAAATTCTAAGTGAATGGAAGGAATACTTGTTGGGTCAATTGATTAAAAAAGTTTTCAAACCATTTGCTTTTGACCTTTCAGAAATTGGTAGGACTAATCTAATAGAGTATGAGGTGCGAACAAATGGTAAAGAAATACTAGCAACCCGTGTAAGGCCAATATGCATTAATAATTCTAAGAAAGCCCTATTGTTTGAGAAACAACTTTGTGAAATGGTTAAACAGGGCCTGCTAGAGAAAAGCAGCGGACAATATATATATTACTGTTTTCCAGTAAATAAGAAAGAAGATAGAACAAATAAATTAAAGGTGGTAGAAAATATGAAACCTTTAAACAAACATATTGTAAAAGATGGTTACCCGCTACCTATGATTTATGACATACTTGAAATGGCAGTTGGCTATGATTGGTATTCTTCAGTTGATGCATATAAAGGATACTGGCAAATCTAGATCCGAAAAAAGGACAGAGATAAGATAACTGTTGCAACCCCTATAGGACTTTTAAGGTATATAGTCATGTACATGGGCTTGAAGAACAATAGCAAAACATTCTAGCACCTGATAGATATAGTATTGGAGGGAGATGAATAGCAACATGTTGCTACAGCATATCAAGATGATGTAGAGTTATGGACAGATGGTTTAGTTAAAGAACATATCGAGTTGTTTGTAAAATTAGTCTGTAGGTTTAAAAAAGCCAAATTAACGTTAGCAGCAAAGAAATGTCATATGTTGTATAAGGAGTTGAATATGTATAGGTTTACAGTTAGCAAGAAAGAGATAAAAGTAGATCCTGTAAGTGTAAAAAAAATAATTGAATGGTGCAGGCCCACTTGACTTACTGAGGTGTGGTCATTTCTAGGAATAATGAATTATTACCACCATTTTATAATGAATTTCAGTAAAGTAGCTAAGCCTCTTACTGAATTAATAAAACAAAATGTTGGGTATAAGTGAACTGATGAATAAGAATTGTCATTTCAGAATTTGAAAGAGTTGCTGCAGAATGAGGTAATACTAAAGGCACCGAACTGAAAGAAGGTAAAAATTAGAGAATGACTTTATTAGATGTATACTGATGCCTGCAATGTATCCTTGAGCATGGTTCTAGAGCAAGAAGATAAAGAAGGCCGATTATATCCTGTAACCTTTGAGTCAAGAAAATTGAATCAATATGAACTTAATTACACTATAACAGAAAAGGAGTGTTTGGGTGTTGTATTTGGTTGCAATGTCAATGAGCGCTACATTGGAGGAACCACTTTTGATGTATAGGTGGATCACCATATATTAGAGTGGTTATTTAACAAAACAGTGCTTAAAGAACGTCTCATGTGGTGAATCTTGGCCCTTCAAATATTCGACTTCCATATGTATTACAAATCGGAAAAGTTACATAGCAATGCCGATGGAATTTTAAGGTATCTGAATCCACCAGAACAACAAGAGCCTATAGATAAACAATATATTAAAAACTTGATAATGCGTGTTGGTAGTAAAGACCAAAAGATAAATGATTTGAAAGCAATTATATGTTACTTGATTTTTTTTATCTAGCCTGACCACATAACGAAAGAGGATTTAAGATATTTGCATTTGAAGATAAGAAAATATTGTCTCTTGAATGACCAACTAGACCAGAGAGCTGTAAAGGGTAGACCACCAAGAAGAGTGATATTTGACTATAAAAAAAAAAGAATAATAATAAGAGCAAATCATGAAGGAATTGCTAATGAAGAAGGATATTGTGGGATTAATAGTTGTTCTGGTGGATTCAGATACCTTAAAATTCCATCGGCATTGCTATGTAACTTTTCCGATTTGTAATACATATGGAAGTCGAATATTTGAAGGGCCAAGATTCACCACATGAGACGTTCTTTAAGCACTGTTTTGTTAAATAACCACTCTAATATATGGTGATCCACCTATACATCAAAAGTGGTTCCTCCAATGTAGCGCTCATTGACATTGCAACCAAATACAACACCCAAACACTCCTTTTCTGTTATAGTGTAATTAAGTTCATATTGATTCAATTTTCTTGACTCAAAGGTTACAGGATATAATCGGCCTTCTTTATCTTCTTGCTCTAGAACCATGCTCAAGGATACATTGCAGGCATCAGTATACATCTAATAAAGTCATTCTCTAATTTTTACCTTCTTTCAGTTCGGTGCCTTTAGTATTACCTCATTCTGCAGCAACTCTTTCAAATTCTGAAATGACAATTCTTATTCATCAGTTCACTTATACCCAACATTTTGTTTTATTAATTCAGTAAGAGGCTTAGCTACTTTACTGAAATTCATTATAAAATGGTGGTAATAATTCATTATTCCTAGAAATGACCACACCTCAGTAAGTCAAGTGGGCCTGCACCATTCAATTATTTTTTTTACACTTACAGGATCTACTTTTATCTCTTTCTTGCTAACTGTAAACCTATACATATTCAACTCCTTATACAACATATGACATTTCTTTGCTGCTAACGTTAATTTGGCTTTTTTAAACCTACAGACTAATTTTACAAACAACTCGATATGTTCTTTAACTAAACCATCTGTCCATAACTCTACATCATCTTGATATGCTGTAGCAACATGTTGCTATTCATCTCCCTCCAATACTATATCTATCAGGTGCTAGAATGTTTTGCTATTGTTCTTCAAGCCCATGTACATGACTATATACCTTAAAAGTCCTATAGGGGTTGCAACAGTTATCTTATCTCTGTCCTTTTTTCGGATCTAGATTTGCCAGTATCCTTTATATGCATCAACTGAAGAATACCAATCATAGCCAACTGCCATTTCAAGTATGTCATAAATCATAGGTAGCGGGTAACCATCTTTTACAATATGTTTGTTTAAAGGTTTCATATTTTCTACCACCTTTAATTTATTTGTTCTATCTTCTTTCTTATTTACTGGAAAACAGTAATATATATATTGTCCGCTGCTTTTCTCTAGCAGGCCCTGTTTAACCATTTCACAAAGTTGTTTCTCAAACAATAGGGCTTTCTTAGAATTATTAATGCATATTGGCCTTACACGGGTTGCTAGTATTTCTTTACCATTTGTTCGCACCTCATACTCTATTAGATTAGTCCTACCAATTTCTGAAAGGTCAAAAGCAAATGGTTTGAAAACTTTTTTAATCAATTGACCCAACAAGTATTCCTTCCATTCACTTAGAATTTCTTTATTGATGTCCAATACTATGCTATTTTCTTTTGTAAGCCGTATTATTAATTCAGAGTCTCTTATACTCACTACACCATTTTCATTTTCTGATTAACATTTCAGTACATCACCCGCCCATTATGTTCCATCTTTTCAAACTGATTATTGTCATTAGGCTAACTTCCTCTACCATCAAATAATCTGCATTTCTTGCTCTAGTTATTATCTCTTGATGTTTGTTTTCCATTTTCTTTGCGTCAAGTTTGTCAATACTTATTCTTCATACTAACATTATACCAATTTCATTCTCATTCTCATCCTCATACTTGTTATTTTCTTGACTCATCCATGCTTCAGGTTTCACAGTAGCTATGAAAGATACTTTCTTATATGGTGATGCTACTATATATCAATACTTATTATTTTTCCAATTCAAGTTACAACATGCAGCAGCCAACCAGGGCATACCAAGCAGCATATCAAAACTGGCAGAGCCCATTACATAGAATCCCTGAATAACACTAATTCTATCCATATCTACTTCTATATTTAGTATAAATCTGAGAAAATCACTAACACTATTATCCTTCATTTTTCCTTTTTCTTTAACAGCTCTCCAAGTCAATCCTCTCCTTTTTGTATATTTTTGTTTACAAGGTTTAATCAGGATCTGGTGTCAATAGGTGCAGTGATTGTTTCACCATTAACTTTAATTAAACCTATAAACATGTCACCTTCATGGCTTATAGGAGTATTCTGTACTGCTCTAATTATGCTAACATTAATGTCCATCATTACTATATCATTCTTCTTTCTCTTTCTTGTTAGAACCTTTAGCACTTCCACTCTAGCCTTTGGTAACCATTTAAAAAGTTGCCTCAATGTTATCGACATTTTCATGTCAGCTATCTTTTTTAAAATGTCCAATTCTTAACTTAATTCACTTAAATATATATATAATATTACTATATGTACGTGGTGTCACAGAATTTTTATTACTTTTCTTTTCGATCTATAATAATTGCTTCTAGTATTACTTTATCATTATCATAGCATTTTCTTTTTCTAAGATTCTATTATCTGACATTAAAGATTGGCTCTCCTTTTGCCATTTCTACTTTAAGGCATTCTATTCCAAGATTCAATGAGATATTTATTATTTCAAAATAACAGATGTTTGTGTTTCTATTTTCATTTATGACATCTCTTTGTTCAGGGCAATTTTGGGCTATTCTATTTGGGCAGTTGCACGAGATATGACCTTCTTGTTGACAATTAAAACATCTCTGGTTATTGGAGCTCTGCCTCTGGTACTTTGAATCTCTTGTAAAGTTTTGATTTCTGTCATTGGAACACCCAACTATTGTTTGCTTATCTACAAGTTGTTTTACTATTCTTGTTATCTCTTTCATTTTCGTTTCGATCACATCAAGTCTACTAGCATTACTTGTCTTTTGCTTCATAGAGTTGATTGTTAAAACTTTCATTGCCACTGTTATACTATCAATATCTGGATTATTTGCTTGGGGTTTTCTTCAACAAAGGATAAACTCTTTTTATCTCTTCGTTCTTTATTCTTTAGAAAATTTTCGATCTGAAGTGTAGTTACCTGGGCTCTATTATAATCATTCGGGCAAAAGTTTTCTACCTTTAACCGATAACCCTGTCACATTCTGTCTAAATACCAATCTCATTTCTCATTCTCCCTTATTTTGTTTTTTACAGCATCTGAATAGGCTTTGAATCTGTTAGTATAACTCTGCATTGTTTTCTTTTCACCCTGCTTGATATTTCTGAGATGATTTATTTTTAACTTCTCATTGCTCTCAGCATTTATCACTTTCACTATTCCCTTCTGCAGTGTATCCCAATTATTATTACAGATTTTGATTAAGCTCTCTAACCCACGCCTTGGTCTCATCTGGCATATGCATAATTACTATTTCACATTTTATTTTATTGTCCCAACTTTTTGACTTGGCATATCTATTATAATCAAAAAGAAATCTATTGATATCATCTTTTATGTCTCTGTAGAAAAATGGCTTCGTTAAATCTTTAGATATACCAACACATATAACAACTTTATAATCACTATACTACACATATTCTTTGATCAATTAATAAGATGACTGATTTATGTATCTAGGTTCTTGTGTCTTGGGTTAATAAATGACTTTTGTCAAATAAAACCTAGCTCAGATAATAGAGCAACGATGGTTTATAAAGAAGTTGGAACAAACTTATTCAAGAGGGTTGTATATCAGAATCCCGACACACAAAATCCTGACACACAAAATCCCGGCAACAAAATCCCAATACACAAAAT